GTAAAATGTCCACAGTGACGACCTCCACTTCCATTGCCCCCACTGGCTGTGGCACACCGAAATGCAGTTCGTGATCAATGCATCGTGAGCTGGCGGTGTCCTGCTCAGGATCAGCACAACAACTTTTATTTTGACCACCAGCATCGCGGCTCCCATCACCGACACCACCAGCACTGCCACCACTGCCACCAACCCTGCCACCACCATCACCACCAGCCACACCACCACCAGCAGCACCATCGCTGATGTACGTACAAACAACAAAACCAAGATCCTGAGTAGACCATGAGAAGGCACAGGGCCGGTTCAGATAATCATCACTGGTGTTGGCCGTGAGCGGAAGTCGAACTTGTGTTACTGGGTTCGTAGCGGAGCACGCTAACCGTTACACTACCGCTCCGCACGTGTCCATGCACACACATACCTACACCTACGTGTATTCACACCTATGCACTCATACGTAACGTACAGCGCGCTAACCGCGACGCGACCGCTCCACTCATGCGCGCGTGCTGCAGGAGACCCCAGCTCGTGCGCCAGCACCAAGGCGGATGTTTGGATCGACTTCTTCCACTCGAAGGAGCTGAAGCTGCAGCCTGGCTCGCCCTGCAACAACTTCCGCGGCTATTGCGACGTCTTCCTGCGCTGCCGCCTCGTGGACGCCGACGGGCCACTGGCACGCCTCAAGAAGGCCATCTTCAATCCGGAGCTCTACAAGTCGCTGGCGCAGTGGGTGCGGGTAGGTGGAAGGCCCGCGCCCTCGCCCGTCCCCTCGCCCGTCCCCTCCTCATCGCTCGCTCTCCCGCTCCGTGGGGGGCGCCGCCGCGCATTGGCTGGCGGCGCGCGAATGCTGCGGCCTGCAGCCCCTTCCCCTGATCTGGTCCCTGAACTTGTCTCTGATCTCCCAACCCCCCGTTGGACTCGCGGTGAGAGTCGGTCCGTTAAGGTGCGCGTTGCTGCACCGACAAAACCCAAATCCTGAGAAACAATCTCGCCACACTCGTGTTATGACTGCAGCCTTATACCACACGGTACACCGCGCGGTACACAGCGTGCGGCCGTGTGGCCCCGGGTCAGGTCCAGCTTGAGTGCTTAGGGATGGCATCCAACTCCCGGCGCAAGGGGCACAGCGCGGAGCTGTCCACAGATGGGCCAGGGACGGCCTCACGGCATTGAAGCCAAAGCAAGGTTAGGGTGGCAGCGTGCTCGGTGATGCCCTTGTGCACTGGCAGTTCCGAGCCGGCGGTGTAAAGTCACATTCCCCTGGCAAGGGCTGGGATCCAGCCCTATCAATTAATCATTGGCTGTGCTTTTTCTACCGAGGGCTGCAGCCTCACTGGTGGATTTAGTTAAACTGTGGATCAGAGGCCGTTTACATTATTAGATTGTTGCACAAGCCCATGGAGATTGTCGTTAGAATCGTTATCATTTGCTTGCTTACGTGAAGTATAGACATTTAGTTTCCCGGATTTCCACCTCACTTATTAGATAAATGTAGTTTATTAAAATTTTAATTGTTTGAAAAATCGATAAGCAACATACCTATATCTAGATTTGAAGTTTTCGTGACTGCAGGGATCCGTACTCTCTGGTTCTTTCGGTAAAGTCATGTAGATATAAAATAAAATAAATTAAATCACGACGTTTCAGGCGCAACACAAGCGTCCGTCATCAGGTGGGACAACCACAGCAAGAAACAATTGCTGAAGTTGGCACTTCAGCAATTGTTGTCCCACCTGATGACGGACGCTTGTGTTGCACCCAAAACGTCGTGATTAAATTTATTTTATTTTATACATACTTGACTTGACCGAAAGAACCAAAGAGTAACATACCTTTCTGTACGTAATTCCGAAAACTGGATATAAGTATCCTTTATTTTTGGATCAATAATTCGCATTTAGGAATCAAGTAGTGACTTTAGAGTGTTAATTAATCACACGTAACTTCATCGATTGCCAATTCTCATCGGGACTTCACTGCACCCAGCAGCCAAATGGCGAGAGAGAGCTGTTCAGCTCTTCAGAGTGACTACACGTGGCCAATTTTAATTCGTTCCGTTATTCTCCTACTAAAGAGTAGGAACGCATTCATCAGAACCAAGTCCTCCGAGGAGATGGAGCGGTGAAATAATTTTGTGTGTAGGGAGTTAGGTAGATCTTTTCATCGCAAGGTCATGAGAGGCGGCGACGGCGGTGGTTTGCGGAGGCCTTCAGCGTGGATTGTCCACAGCTGATGATCACGATGATGACGGTTTCTTCTAAGTACGAATGGAACCCCGGCACGTGCGTGCTATTGACTGTGCGTGCACACGGGGTGTCGCTGCGGGCGTGCAGGATCACTGGTGGGCCGGCGTTCTCCTGGCCGTGGCTCTCATCATGCTCATGGGGGGCTTCATCTACCTGTGCAGCAAACACACGCCCAGCAGCAACCCCAACCTGCCCAAGCACAAGGAGCTGCCAGGTGAGGTCGCACGGCCCCCACCGCCATCCAACTTGAATGACCGCACGAGGGTTTACATGTCGCTGGCTGTGCACCGTCCCTTCTCGTTTTATACGTCTGCTCCTGCATTCTCGTCGCTGAAATGATCCTGTGACCCCCGTGACCCCTGTACTTTCCGTGCCAGGCGTGTCGACATTGCGAAGGCAGCAGAGGCAGCGTCAGGCGAGGAGCCGCAGGCCCGACGGCCAGGAGATGCAGAACTTGAGGCGGTGATGGCGGCCGAGCAGGGGGAGGTGGAGGGGGCGGGGGGTGGTTTGTTGTGGGTGGGCGGTTGGAGGAGGTGGGAGGCCGGCGGCAAGGGGATGGCAGCAGGAGCAGAAATTTACACCACTACGCCTACGGGAGTCTACGACAATCACGGCTCCTGCGGTTTTAGGCCTCGCTCACTCCTGCCCCTGGAGGATCGTTTGGCCATGTGGCCGTCCGGACTCGATGCTCCGCTGAGGGATGAAAAGAGCACGGACCGGTCGACGGGAGGCCCGGTTCTGATGATGTTTGATGCCTGCGTAAGAGCGCTGAGCCAACTACGCTGCACACACAGACACGTATATATACATACGGAATTAGACAGAACATGTTACGAGCGATTGGTTTCGGACTTAATTTGGTGCATAGACACAGAAAACTGCTCGCCTGCATCTTTAAAGAGAACGCATTCCATGTGCGGTTTAAGAAACATCTGCCAAGGATAATTGGGCAAAACCTGTGGTGCCGTTTCTGAATCGCTACACAAGAAAATGAGTTTCTCTGCTGCTGGAAAAGCCTCTGAAATGCCCCTAAAGTGCGCTGCTCTGTCCCGTCTGAATGCCAGTAGCATAGCTGGGACATATGTAACAACTCGAATGGGTTAGGGTTTGGCTGTGGTGGGCGGGATCGGTGTTATGGGGGAGGCAACCAAAGACTTTGTAAGGCATATTTAATACCGGGCTTTGCACAAGTCCGGTGGCAGTTTCACACCCGGCGTGGGTATCCGTGTGCCCCGATGCCTTCTGGGTGGAACGTCAAACCAAGACCTTAGCAACACATCCTCCACCGTTGCTTGATCGGAGAATCCCGGTTCCGCACATCTACCGGTTTAAGTGGCCCTTCCTCTTGTCGGCCCAGTGGATGCGGCCCGTTTGTCTCGCACAAAGAGACGACGTGCAAAGGAAGCGTCGCACACAGGCGACCCGCCGTGCGGGAGGGACCAAGCACGAAGCCGATTTCAGCAGACATCACTCTCCCTTGCTCAGCAAGGACGACCACCTGTTTATGCACTCAAATGCAGCGTTCGCTCAGTCCGTTATTACTTTGCCGGATGAGTTGCGTTTTTTTTCAATCTCCTAGGAAAGTGAGAATTGTCATCCGAGGGGTGTTGGAAATGAGGCTGCGTTTTGGTGGAACTGTCCGTTTTACCGGCCTCTGTTTGGTCGTACGTGCGCAAGCGTGGCACGCATGGTCTCCGTTTAAACGATGCTTAAATTTGCTGAAGTGCCTAGAAACTGACTGTTTTTCCTTCGTCCAGATAACTTGTGCTGCATTTACACAACAATTTTTATCGCAACTGCCCCGAGGCCACAGCAACCCCGAGAATCTGCATTCCAAACCCCATCATCATAATTCCCATTTCATGTGAGCTTCGTTTCAGCCCAGTGTGCAAAAAAAGTATAAAGCGGGGTAGATTTTCTTCCACACCCAAATTTGGAGAAGTTTTTTTTCTCTATCTATAACTGGCAAGAAAAACCAAGCCACTAACAAATGTGAACTCTGCTTGTTCTAAGGTATCGTATGGATTCCTCAAGAAATGGGATTAGCTATCGCTAATCGTATCGCTTTTAAAGCAGACGAGGTTAGTCTTATTTTTTACTGCTATTGATTAAAAAGGGACACGGATCCTGCCGCATCTGCAGCGATGAATTTGTAACGTGTGGGGGGGGGGGGGGGGGCCTCAGCCTTTTAAGCAACTTTTATTTTTAATAAAAATACGTTTTTTGAGCTACTGAACTGTGTTTTGACCGAGCGTAGCTGGTACACTGACGAGCTGAGCTGTGCGTGTTTAACTTGTGTTGTTTATCATGCCACACGCATTTTTGCGTTCTTTTATTCGAACGCTGAAACCCCCACATTATGTTTTGTGGTCCCCCCCTCTCGTCCTTTTCTAATTTACTTGGTGTGCTCAAAAACGTGGTGACGAGGGCCTGAAGTGATAAAACATCGCCGATATAATCGTTCTGACACGCCCATACTGGATATCTGTGAACAAAGAGCTTCATAGCTCATCGGATTCCTCCAGTATAAATATTTTGATTCTGAAATTATGGTTTTTGAATCATAGGATTATTGCACCACGGGGTTATGGGGTACTTACAAATTATTTTAATTGATTGCTCACTCGTGAAATATTTTAATATTTAGGCTCCCGGAACCCCTCTAGACCAATCTGCGAAAAACTCTTCATTCGCCACTGCTGTGGTCACGCACACTCTATTTACGTTTACCGTTTTTGTATAAAAAAAAAATACCTATTAAAAAAATAGGTTTGCGTTCGAGGCCATTCCATGTTAATGTATTGCTACTGACTTTTAAGCTGTGGGGTATTGTGTGAAAATGCAGAGGTGGAGATTTGAGGCTCAAAAAAGTGGAATTTTTTGTACGGCATGAGTGCTACCATCAACGAAGAAAAGTTTGCAGGGGCCGGGACATATAATGGGACCCGAAAATAAACAAGCAACAGAAATGTATCTCGTGGGTTTTAGTTTTGCTTACCTATGGTGCTGTGTAGCCTGAACACCTTAAACCGCCGCGTGTATTAAATGAGTTGAGGCCTGTACTCTGTAAATAGCGACGGCTTGCGCTTAAGCGCATCCGTATGGCTTGCACTTGTTTTTTACGTTTTTATTACTCCAACCAACGCTTTTTCTTACGTCCCGAACTCCAGTGTAAACTGTTTACCGACATGGCTTTGTCCACTTTTTTCCATTCTCTGCTTTTTACTAATCTATATTTTGAAACGTTCACGGATGTGCGATTTGAAATGACAAATAAAAGCCAACTGCTGGCTATCAATGGTTTTTTCCCCCCTATGTTAAATGTTGGCACCTGTGTCATCTACGATTGAGCTTAATTCTCCCCGCCACTTGCTACCGTACTGCAAAGACAGCAGTCAGGCCCTCGGACAGCGATGATGTTTATTGTGGTGCGTGTGTGCACCTCTTGCAGCTGATTACGGACGCAATGTAAAAGCTGATGCGTTTCAAAAGCGTAACGTTGCATCAGAAGATATCCGCAGGTTGGATTTTTTAAAGTTTTATTTCAAAATGTTACATCTACAAAAATACAGGGTGGAAATTACCCGCGTATGAATTAACGTGAGCAGCCTGTCACGGTCAACTAATGCAAGTACAAGTATACAGTATGTACAAACGTCAATAACTTAAGTCCCAGACTTTTTACAGCACAAAACATAAACAGCAGTCCTCACGCAGTGCTCTGTGCAATGTGCAAAATGTACAACCTTGCAAAACTGAAGATAAATCGTAATGGAAAGGACCGCCAAATTGTTTTGTGTCGCAGCGCCGAGCGGCCGCCGCCGCCGCTCGTCCCGAGCGGTGTAAACGCGCAAGGCAAAGTCTCGCGCACCACGATGGCTGCCAAGTTTCACTCTCTCGCGTTGCCGCTCTCCGTAGTGGGTTTTATTTTGGCTGCATTTCAAAGCTGGGTTGCATCTTTGGCTGTCGCCTACCGGCTCTTGAGGACTACGGCTTCTGGCGTTTGGCCTTCAACCCCCCCCTCCCCCTCCCGACCCACGTGCCGCCACCACCACCGTCACCCCACGCCATGCCACTGGCAGATAAATTGCGAGGGGCCACTTTGGTGGCGTTGCGACACCCAGGATCGAACCGATAACGAACCGGCGATCACGTTCGGCGGTGGCGGTGAACTCAACTCACGAGTTGAAGAATTTTTACGTTTGAAGTCCTGCCAGTCAGTGTGTGCCACAGGACGGAGTGCTTTTAAGGGACAGAAGTTATATATTACTGCAAATACACACAACAACCGTCAAGTTAATACATAGCGATGCGTTTGAGTACCCAACTCTCTCAGGGCTGAATGAGCAAGATCTTGGATCCCTGCCATCACGGACGAGACGTGCCTGAACATCGCAGGTGCGACGCTGACATCAGAATGTCGAGAGACGCGCGGTCAGGGCTGTCCCTTCGCTATTCAGTTCAGAACGCCGTGTCAACACTTGTTCATATAAAAAATAGAATCTTAAGAAAAATATATTTACAAGGGAGGCTAACCGGAGATTGTTTATGGGAGGTGTATGTTCGCTCAAATATCGACACTCTTAATTGTTATTGTGTACACCACACATTCATGCCAATGGAGAATCTGGCATAAGGGGAAGATGTGGTTACATCAATGGCATTTACCATGATGACCTCTGGACTTAACTCTGGTAAGTGTTTCGGTTTGACGATGAAGTGAAAGGCAATGCCCACAGACCAATGCAGTGTTTGTAAAGATGTGGAATAAAATTACACCGAAGAATAAGACAAGATAAAACTCAATGCTTTACCATGACTCCAGCTAGCACCGGTCTTAATTTCAGCTGGGGATCTTAGGAGTGACGTCCCGGAAAATATTTCAACACCTGGCACACCGCACCCAATGTAAATCTTTAATTATATATCTGCGGCTACGGGTCGTGTAACTATTCCAGTCTTCGACAGCCAATCTGGAAAATATGCGTTGAGAAATAAATCCGTGGACGAGCCGATCGCGTGCGGGTTGCAGCGTGGCACGTGGCCTCGGCGTCCGTATGGAAGGCACGCAGCATTGGGAACATGCCTGAGATAGGTCGCACACGTTATCACAGTTACATTTGAGATGTACAAATACGCGCACATCCTCCACGTGCGCCGGGTCGCTTATTTTACGCGCGACGAATCCAAACAAAAAAGTGCCGAGTGAAACAAACATTTGCGCGACCCTCATCTGGACTGAGAGCTGTGTGGGGATTGCGAAGTGCAGGCCGTTGCGTCTGTCCGCGCGTTGTTATTCCAATCGCCATTGATGGCCACGAGGCGTGCGGCTCGGGCTCAACGCGCTAACAAATGGAACCCGTTCGCGATGGTGCCGAGCTCGTGAGCATGAGTCGCAGTTGGGGAGGTCCTGGCGGTGGAGGTTGGAGGTGAAGCAGGGTCGCTAGGCATCCATGCGCCATGCCGTGCGGCTCCCTGCTGCGACTGGACGTGGGGGGTCAGGGTTCATCCCCGGGGAGCGGTGAAGTCGGGTGTGCACCGAGCCACGAACTGAAGGCACTCGTCCGTTGTTTTCTTTCTTGCGTTGGTCCAGTTTCTGTCCCGCGGAATTCCCCATGAGAATTTCATTCGTCCCGCTTCCCAACGGAACTGGAAAAAAAGAGGGGCAGTAAACCTAAAGTTAAATAGAACTGTGGGAGAGTGAAAATCATTGAAGACATCTCTTTAGACAACTTTTTGTGTTTAGCTTGTCCTTCCCCTGCACCTACAATTATCACGGTTGGCTAGGTATGGTGCGATAGAAGCTCAACATACATCATAAGCATGCTGCTTTTAAAGGGGAGGGAGGTGGGGGGGTTGTTTTGTACTCATGCATGTTTGTTTAGTAGCAGTGGTGAGAGTGGGTTGTGAAGATTATGATGATGACGAGAATTCGATGTTGATGAAACATTTGACGAAGCCTGACTTAATACCCAATAGTTTTTGTCACCTGTTCACTCCTCAATGTCACGCGCCCCGAGTAGCGATGAGTGGACATGAGTGCGGTGACTGGGCGTGCAATCTGAACTTTACCCAAAGCTCCTCTTGGAGATCCACCCGTCGGGACACTTGACGAACACCTCCTCCTGGGAGGGCTTCAGGTCCACGGTGTCCTGGTCTTTGGAGCAGAACGCCATTCTATAAACGATAAAAATCAACGTCCCCCATTAACTCACGCCGTAGTCAATAGGCCAGTGTTCTTCAGTGTTATTCAGTGCAAGGCCCCTGGGCCACTGGCGGCCCCTGGTGGCCTTTAGTGGGGCCCCTGACAGTACACAAAGAGTGAAGACATCCCCCATCATCATCATCGTCGTGCTGCTGCTGTCAAACCCAACAATGGTTTCAAACGTGTGGCGGCCCTCACCCTGACGATGTCTTATCGGTAAAATTGGCCCCCCTCTGAATATTAGTGAAGAACAGTGCAATAGGCCCTCAGTCAGGCACCTTCACCCTCACAGTGACTAATTTAAGTAACTAAAACTGCGACCTCCGACTGTAATCCAGTGAACAATGCTGTTATCTCTCCACTTCAGAACAGACATTACCTGAAAAAATAGCCTCTTGTATGTTTTTATTCGAAGGCAGCGTTAATGAAAACTACGTTTTGTCTTTTGTTTGTGCTTGAGCATCGCGGGGGTTGGTTTTTGCCCACGTAGGGATGATCGCCCAATAGCGAGAGATGGGGCCGAGAGCTGGTGGCCTTGGGTGGGGGTAGAGTAGGGGGCAGCCATTGTACTGCCCCCCCCCCTGGACCCCATGGCTACTCCCCCCCCCCCAACTTCAAAGTCACTCCCACTCATCTATGTGGTTGCAGACCACTTACAACTGAACAGCTTAGGGGGTTGTGGATCCACAGCAATTCACATGGTAGAAGCGGCACTTAGCGCCCGCGTCAAGGGCGGCATTCCAAGAATTCAAATTTACAAAGTGGCTGTGATACGTTCCGCAGAACCGCCAGCCAATCAGGCGCCAGCGAGGCAGATCCTGAAACCGCACCGTGGCGATGTGAGGGGCAGGATCTCGACGGCCAGCGAACCGTGCCGTCTGTCTGGTTTTTGTTTTCACGTTAAGGCGTGGACGATTTATTTTGTGAGCTGCCATCGCGTTGATGTTCACATTCGGCAGAGTCTGTCACGAGCCTTGCCCGCGACAGGCCGAGCGTCATCCGCTTGGAGCCGCGTATCCCAACTCCATTCCCCCTACCCCCACCCCGCATTCTGCCTTTCCATGATTTACCAATCTCTACTATTCATATGCAAATCAAGTCCATAATTGGTTCCTTTTGGGTCCGATCTTGTGGAATTAAGCCACAGCATGCACACTGCTTGCACCTGACGGTGATCACGATAAACTGCACCGCGGTTGGGGGCTAGGCCGGTCTGCCGGAGGGGAGGGATGTAAGGATGCAGGGACAAGGAGGATGGGGGGGGGGGTTGAGGAGAGAGAGCCGGAGGGTTGTGAAGACAGGCAGGGAGGGAGTGTTGAAGAGTGAAAATGGAGGGAGAAAGGCGGGAGACGGAGAGGCTCACTTTTTCTGGGTCTCTCCGCACTTGACGCGGATCTTGCGCACGCGGATGCTCAAGCCCGAGCCGGCGTGGTCCAGGCCCGACCACGTGCGCATCTTGTACCACACCGACTGGTACCAGTTGTCCGACCTCTCCCACTTGAACTTGACCTGCAGCAGGTCGCCCACGTCCTGCTCGGTGTACACGAGGAAGGAGTGCGTCGTGTTGGGCTCCATGCTGTCCTTCCTGCGCGGACACGCGGGGCGGCCCTCACTCAACATGGCTGCGACGCTTCACCGCTCGCGCGAGGCGCCGAGTCATCTCCGTGTAAATGAGCGTCGGTTCGTTGAAATATGTGTACCCCAGGAAACATAGATTCAGCGACGAACATTTGTAGTGTGTGTGTGTGTGTCCGCCACCCTGCCTCCACCCCCACGCTCCCGTTCGCCACCCCGCCCCAACATGGGGGTTTATATCTGCTCCCTGCCTATTTACGGTTGGGGTTACGGGGAGGTCAAGGAACACACTGGTCAGAACGAAAGAGCTACGTTGGTCAGGACAAGGGTATCGCGAAAGAGAAAGGAACAAAATGTTCAATGTTATCCAAAGCAAACCGAGCAACTCTTTCACAAAAAAAGTTTGGCGAGTTGCCGTAAAAAAAGGTTTTAGTTGTAAATGCGTGGATGTAGACTCACAGCGCAAAGACTGACTTCGTTAAAAAGGAATACATAAGGGGCACAAATATTCCGAAGGGTAAACCGATATTTCGTACGGGGATCGGATTTTAGTTGCGAGCAACTCACGAGATGATCTTGAGGTCGTGCGCCTCCCCCGTGGTGCCCAGCAGAGACACGGAGAGCCGGGGTCGCAGATGCTCGATGTGGACCTGGCTGGTGAAGTGGATCTTCACCTGGTAGTGGAACACTGCCAAGGGCAAGCACGAACACACGGCATGGTGAGCGGCGATGTGGGGTGGGTGGGTGTGCGGGGTGGGTGTGCAGGGTGGGTGGGGTGTGAGGAGCGGGTAAAGTTTGTGGGGGTGTGGGGTTGGTGCGTTGGGCGAGTGGGTCAGTCAACCCATGGCACCTGGGTCTGTCCCGCGACCTGCCAGGGGGCGTTTGATACTTCACGTGGCATTAAAGTGCACATAGCCTGTCACAAGCACCGTGGTGCTAACCTCCAGTTAGTGGCGAATGGCGGGTATTGTTGGGGTGGGCGGTAAATGTGGGATGTGCGGGGTGTGCGTTGGGTGGGTGTGTCGGGAAGAGAGTGGCACGTGCCCTGGTGACAGTGCCCACTGCACCGTGCAGCGCTACTCGTACCGCGTGGCAGCAGTGAAGTGCATCGCGTGGCTCAGTGCGGCCCCTTAGGCGAGCCGTGTGCTGTCGCAGGCCTTGCGCCGTGCGCGCCGCACGGCGGCTTGCGCGCGTGTACCCGCGCGACATTGCCCCGTACGCGTGTAGCGCACAGCACGCCCCGTCTCTCCGCGCGCGCCGCCCGCACCTTTGAAGGGCATCCCGCCACGCGTCTTGTGGAACATGCGCGTGCTGCGGCGGGCGCGCACCCGCTCCGCGCCGTAGCCCACCGCGCTGCACCGGTGCTTGCGGCAGCTGAGGCACAGGCCCCGGTTGAAGCGCTCCGAGTCGGTGCAGCGGAACGCCGTGGGCATCTGCTCGGCGTGCAGCAGCGAGTCGATGAAGAGGTGCACGGAGCGCTCGTGCTCGCACTTGAACGCGTCCGTGAAGCCTGCACCGTGGCGCCCACGGATGACGGTGCCGGAGCCGGGGCGGGAGGGGGCGGCGGGGGATGGAGGCCAGGGGTTGGGGGGGGGGCAGAACAAGACAGAGAAACGTGAGAAATGACGAAAATGCGACGATTGTTTTTCTGTCCCCGAATCAAAATGCGCTTCCTGGTGTGGCACAGGTGGTGGGCGGTGAATATTTTGTCCTGAATGGTTTATTTTATTTTTTAATTAATCGTCTCAAAAACAAGAGGGCACAAGTTTGCAACTAGTGGAGGGTTGTGGAAAAGACCGATTCATCCGAGGGCGCGGGTTCACGCTGATCGTGTCGGTCTGCCACGTACTCTGCTAGCGCTGGCCTTGCGCTCTCTAGCCGAGCCCGGCTCCAAGAGGCTTTGCTGCATAGGTCGTGTTGCATTTGAATAACGCAAGCCAACGAAGAGGATCCCGTGGGCTAAGCTCCGTTAGCCAGAGCAGGTCCGTGACAGCCTTCACGCCAAGTCACCAAACAGAGCCAAAAGAGTCACTGGATAGACCTTCCGAAGTCGTCAAAAATTGTCACTGGAAAACGTGCCAGGTATTACGCGCAGGACACTGATACAGGATCCTCAATGCGCACTCGCATCACGTGCTCGGCAGTGAAAGTCGCTCGAATTGCGACAACATTTTGCCGCTAGGCAGAACCCAAAAAGTTATTGGATCCGGGAGACAAAAATCACTGCGTTCACAACACCGGCCACAAAATGTGGCAACGTCTCTCCCCTTACTCATGAGGCCGTTTGACGCCAATCCCCCGAACATGTCGCGGATGTCGCAGCCCGGCTGGTTGCTGCCACCGTTGGGGTAGACGTCGAGGTGACCCACGGGCTGCTTGATGCCGATGCTGAGGCCCGGCGAGCCGCGCGTGTGCGTGTGCAGCACGTCCACGAAGCCCGCGTCCTCGGGGGAGAGGCGCTCTGCGGACTCCCGGCCCTCGAACGTGGGGCCCGCCGGGTCAAGCCCTACGGGGGGGGGGGTAGGCGGCAACACCGCACGCTCAATCCAACGTCGTCATCATTTGCGCATATGTATGTTGAACTCCTTTCGCGCGGTCCGTAGCAAACCATGTTAATCAGAGGTCATCATCGTTATCATTAAACATGGTCAGTCCGCTGCTGGATGATGGCCTCCCCAAGCCGTCGCCGTCTCTCATGCCCCTGCCCACCCTCTCCCCTATCATTCCACTCCACTCCAGCCCACGCACTCTCCGCCAAAGTGACCAGGACTTTCTGTCGAAGCCCTCAGTGGGAGGTCGTCCTTTCTCCTCTGCAGCCGCCAGTCTCTGCAACTCCCTTCCCACAGTCATCCGTGCTGTCGACTCCCTGCCCCTGTTCCATTCCAGTCTCAAGGTCTCCCCCTGCTATTCTTACGCCCAGGACTGAATGAATGCCTCTCTCTCTCTCTGTATTATACGTCAGGCCCAATGTTTTTCTGTACACTCTCTTGAGATGCGGTTACATTTAGACGCCGCTATGTAACTCCAAAGTGGATTGTTTTCTATAAATCCAAGCACGCTTCAGAGCGCCATGAAACCTTGATGCTCCACATGGTGTCTGTTAGCCCAAGGCTAAACTCGGCACCGTGGAATCCAATACATCTGCATGGCAATGGCCGTTCAACATGTGCAGACTCGCAGACAAATATTGAAGAAGACGTGCATTGCAGTGGGGCGGACGACTGATGTTTGCACACACTTAGCAAACAATACGAGCCCTGATCCTAACCAGCTAGCTACTAACACTAGCTCTCCTGCTAACCATAATTAGCCAACCGGCCACTACTATTAGCTCTACCTTTACCCCTGACCAGCTTCCCAGCCAGCCACTATCATTAGCTGTATTTGAGAACCAATAACAAACTAGCTCGCCAGCCACGAGTACTCGCCATCTGTTTGACCATCACTCTAGCCAACCAGCCACTCGCACTCATCATCCCACTGATCCTAACCATACCCAGCCACTCGCACTCGTCATCCCACTGATCCTAACTGTACCCAGCGATCCAACCGGTCACATGTACCAGACCTCTTATAGGCCCTTTCCTAGGTTGACAAACTAATTTCTTAAAAACTGCTTTTTATGTTTAGTTTGTTGTCCTTCCCCCACACCTCCGATTAGCACGGTTGGCTACGTACTGTGGGAAATAAGTTCAACATACATACAACCAACTCGTATATCGTACACAGCTATGCCACAGGCTCTAACCATAGCCAAGTGGCCACTAGCACGAGCCCTCTCACTGACCCTCTAACCTTACCCATAACCTCTATTGTGGCTGTTCCCAGCCACGTCTCCCAACCAATGGCGAATAGGGAGAGTCCTTGCCTGTACACATCGGGCAATTCACCAGCATTTGTTTAAGACAGCCTAGCTCTATTGATGGCACATTGGATATCGATACTAGTCCAAGGTTGTGCTTGTATTAAACCAATGCTGCAGATTAAAAAATAAATCACTTCTCAGAAGGCCGTGGTGCTGATTGTAATGTGTAAACACATAAATGTGTCCATAATAGAGGTCCATAAAATAGTTTTTTTTGTGTACTTGTATTTTGTTTATGATATGGAGTGACAGATGTGGGGACGAAGCAAACTGTCGGCTTGTTTCTGGTTCGTTGATCACTCTCCGTTTAGTGTTTGACGTCTGCGGGGCGAGGCGTGCGTGCGTGCGTGCGAGCGAGCCATGCCGCGGCCGGGAGCGCGCTCACCCGTGATACGCCCCAGCCTCGCGGGGTTCCTCATGTGCTCCCCGGCGAACCCGGCGGCGTGCGCGCCCAGGCTGTAGCCGATGAGGTGGACGTTCTCCAGCGGGTGGTTGGAGGCCTCCTGCCGCCCACATCGCGCACACGGGAAACCTCCGGTATAGCGCGGTCGGCTACGCACTCCGCCAAAGAAGTTCAACGTACGTGGTGCGGTAACACTAAAACGGGCACAACGCTGCAAGCGCTCGGTCACGCCACTGTAGCCTCCGCTACATATTGGCCTACTCTTCCACACTGGCCGGACCTCTTGGAAACGGCGGGAGTTACCAACACTTTACCCCACCACTATATGACAATCTGCCGATTGACTGTGGTGTAGCTATTTATAATGCTGGGGGGACAGAGGTTGGGGGGGGGGTGATTCAATAATAGACTCACATGGAGATCTGTAGGATAACATAGAGACCTATAGACTCAACTAGACACCTGTAAACTTACAGAGACTCACAGACTCGCACAGAAAACCATGGACTGACATATATAGAGAGAGGCGTTCTATTTTACCAGTTAAGGCCCACTGAGCTATGTAGCTCTTTTTCAGAAGTGACCTGGCCACAAATGATCGTTTAACGAAGTGGCTTATCACGTGGAAATGTATAGCAGCCAAGTACTCTAAACGCACGTTTCTAAATGTGGAAGGAAAAACCGGAGGTCCTGGAGCAAAATCCACGTGAACCACGGGGAGAACACGCAAACTCCAAATATACAGGTGTCTTTGTCGGGATTGAACCCACGACCTCCTGTATGCCAGGCGAGCAGACATTGTCAAGTAGTGTCATTTAGACTCAAGGAACTAAATGCTCCCCCCCCCTCTCCCCTCGTCGCCAGTTCTCCCGCCACCTCCTCCCCTCTCTTCATAGCCGGGCGCCGGGCCCATCTGTCCTGTCGACCCAGGAGCAGTTGCACCGCCTGCACGCCCAACAAGCTCCGCCGTCGCCCCTCACCTCGAGCCACTCGAGGAAGACAGCGACGTCGCGACCCACGACGCGCGTGTTGGCGGCCGCCACGGGGTAGTGCTGGTGGGCGCGGTCCAGCCAGTCCAGCACCACGATGTTGGCGGCGCTCTCGCGCGCGTGCAGCGCGCTCACCATCTTGCCGATCCAGCCCTCGAACATGCCGCTGAGCTGCGAAGGGGGGCACGCGGGGGGGGGCATGCGGGGGGGGCATGCGGGGTATGTCGGTGGCATTTAGAGGAACAGTTTGGCAAAGGCTCCGGCCGGTGTTGCACAGAAAACGATTTGGAATGGTGGTGGAATTCTCTTGCTTTGTTGTAAACATTCCAAGTCAAAGTGATGTCTTGCCCAAGTGCCATATTGCGGCATTGGTGCGGCATGTCCTGTTTAAAGCACTGAGCGAGTGGTGGAAATTCCACGCTGCTTTGGCGAGAGAAAGTCGATATGTAGGACGATCGCTGTGGACTTCCCCCGCAAAAGTGGTGCTCCAATTATTTACCGTAGAGGGATGATTGGCTGAGTCAACCACCCCAACCAGGTTTGAATTCGCACGATTATCGTCTAAATCTCGAAGGGTACGACGCAGTCAATGTGAAATAAACTTCAAGGAAATGTTCAACGCTAAACAGAGCGAGTAGCAATAAGGCCTGCTTTTGTTGATCATACATCCTGCTGCAGAGCTCATCGACCGCGGTGAAACTCGCCAACTGGCAAAGGGGCCAAACTCAAGCCCCACACACGTGGATTCAAGTTCCCGTTTCTGGATTGGCCATCTCGCAGGGCCAACTGTGCAACATTCTGATGTCTCCGAGGGGAAGCCTCCGATCCAAGTACTGACCAGGCTCAGGCCTGCACGTGCGTGTAAGTGTACTGGTGTGCATGCTGCCGGAGTGGGGCGAGCACTCCAGACGTCGCACTTCTTACCGTCCAGCCGTGGATGATGAGGAAGGTTTTGACGCTGGGCTGGAATCTGCATTGAGTGAGCGACTCGGGCTGTCCTGGCACCAGCTGGCAACCTGGGCCCTCCGGTTCGTCCGCGCTTCTCAACTGGAACCGGCTTCTGATGGATTCCAGCTGGGGCTCCGCCGTGCCTGCGTGCAGCATGGGGTGGATCGTCACCGACGGGCGGCGGCGGAGGCACGGCCACTGGCTAAAAGCGGGCGCTCATAACAGGGGGAAGCTCTGGGCAGCACGGTAGCAAGGGGAGCAGTGGGGGGGGGGGGGGATGTCCCCGGCATCCCAGCCGAGGAGGGGCGGTCGCCCGAATGTATAGTCGAACTGTGGCACACGAAGTGAGCAGTGGCGGCTGCTGCCCCAGATGGTTGTGGGACGGTGGTGCTAGCGCCGCAAAAATCCAGGCTGTGGCGTCTTCCCCCTGGGCCACAAATGCGTAGCCAAGGTGCTGGCTCTGGCTCTCGGTAGAGGGGGCACCCAGATGGGAGGGCGCAGAATAGCGATGTAGCCCCCCAGACCTCCCCCCCCCCACCGAATGTGATAGGACATGTTATTTATGAAACGTTTCTTTATAATCGCTAGGTTTTTCCATTCAGTTAGATATTTTTTTATTGTAATTGTGCGTAAATAGTAAACAAAAAAGTAAATGAATAGCAGTACAAGTAACATGTAACAAAACGCATGGTGATATAATAAACAACACCAATTTAATAAATTCAAACATCAGAACGTTGGCTCGGGACAAAAGCCACCTCGATTGGAAGTCAACTGGCAAGGCGGTATCGGTGAAGGGCAACGGTCATGCCCCAACAGCCCAAAACGACACGAAGAATAACGGCAGTTCATCCGTAGATGAGTGAGTGTGACGACGATCGACGGGTGACTAGGTTACTTCACACATAGAGGTGCTTCACAATGAAATCAGAGCTGAGGCCAGCGGAAGGAAACTGTGAAGCGGGAGGCTATTTTACAGAGGTCATGGGAACTCTGTGGCACCGCATTACTGCCCTCGAAATGAGGGTTACGGGCGGGTGTCGCGTTCGGCAGCGCTTCACTCGTCGCTGCGAAGGTGAGACAATAGCCATGCGCACTCGGTCGTGGAGAAAAAGTTTAGCCCCCCCCCCCCCCCTCGGGAAGTGCGAGCCCGCCCCCTCCAGCCATTAGTGGCCCAATGGCATCCTCTCGTTGGCCCTGTCCCCGTGAGCTCTGTGTCATCGCCGGAATGCAGCCCTCCCAGTTTTGAAAGTTCATCCTTTTGAATCTCGAACATCGTGGGGATGGGTTTCATTAAGCGTCTTGGGGCACCTACTGAAGTTACCAGAAGCTCGCCAAACAAAGCCGAAATAATGTAGTAATAAACCATTATAACCAGATATGAGCCCATTGACACTAAAAGTCTCTTTTTGAGATCTGGGTAAAATAATCAGTGCTTTATAAAGGTTACAACTATGGTCAAATACATCAAACGTATTACATATCGATCGGAAAGGGCATTTAATGTTCACTTGTGGCCACAAATTTGAGACCTATCTGACGGCATATACGAAACTTGTCGCGACCCGCTGATCCAGGGCGATACCACAGCGGTGACAGCTCCCGGCACTGCCGCCACTGCCACCACCACCGCAGGGCACGGGGTGCATCCCGTGCCACGCGAGGGGACTTGAAACTGCTGAGAAGGCGCGGCGAGCAAATTGAGCGAGGGGGCGGCGGCGTAACCGCTCGCGGATCTTACGTTTGACCGTTAACAAAGCCAACACGAGGCGTCGACAAAGGAAGCTCTTGAGGGCCTGGTCAAACAGTCCGGGCCAATGACCCCCACTTGATGGTGACTATTTACTCTTTACAGTCGCACAACCTTCAGAGCTCGTCTACCGGAGACCACGGGGTCAAGCGTAGATATGACGGCCACTTCTACGGCCACAAATAAAAAAAAGCGGCTTTCGCCACTGCGACTCGTAATAAACCAAGGGTCACGAAAATTATTGCAATCGCGCGGCAATCTTAAGAGGTGGCGACGCACGGGGACTCGTGACCAGGTGCATGCACTCGGTTATCCTGGCGTCAACTCTCTTGACCTCTTGAGAGTGAAGCTCGCACTTAAACACAAAGATCCCCCGTGCAGCCTTTTTTTCCAGACTGTTGGGGCAAGTGCTGTAAGCGAGCACCTGTGAAGGTCGGAACGGCACACGAAAGGGGTGGATGGCCAACACCACGCCCGGCCGCCTTTGTTTCCCCAGTGCTAATGTTCACACTGCACCAGGTACTCATTTGAGGCTGAGTCAACCTAGGGGAAGCCCAGGTCCGGTTCAGATAGCAAAGCTGGATCCTGAAATCCAGCCACTTGAGAGTGGAGTTGGTGGATCGTGTTGAGATTTCGTACACACAAAACAAACCTGCAAAGACTGGGTGTGGTTTCTGTTTTGGGCAGTACAAAAAGTGCGATGTTGGCCTGTCTGTGCACAGTTGTGATTTGTCATTCTATCGTATGCTTTGATTTGTTTTTCAAACTCTCTGTTATCCTTGCGTGTTTTGGATCGCTCACGTTCCACGGGGTTTGGAGGGAATGTGCAATGCTCGTTGAGCCAGATTCAAAATATTCCACAAACGTGGGCGAAACACACGTCACATTAATAGGTGCTTTCAAAACTCAAGTTAATTTCCATGCCGTCTAATTAGAGGAGTCATTGGTCGTCATTACGGTGCTCACGGAATCATAGAATTGGCTGAGCACAACTGGAGATTGCAGAAACTCTTACTCGGAGCATGAGGATGGCTCCCCATTGGACTGACTGCCCTCTCCGGGTTTCAGTTTCAGTTTATTTTGGTATAGCCCTGTGAGCCATTCGGCTCTTGAATCGGGCGCAACCACAACAAACAAAAAAAACAAAAACACGAACAAGAAAAACATCTTAAAGTGGGGGTGGGGATGCGTTCAGACTTGCTGGGTATCATAACATTTGCGCGGTTACTGCACATTCCAACTACTTAAGACATTTTGATTGAAAGCTTTCGTGACTGCAGGGATTCATATTATTGGTTCTTTCGGTAAAGTCACGTAGAAGGGAAACAATAAAATAATAAAAATATAAAACAATAAAATTATCACGACGTTTCGACTGCAACACAAGCAATCGTCATCAGGTGTGAAAACCACAGCAAGAAAATTTGAAAAGAGTGGCGGTTTTGTATTATTTTATTGCTTTCCTTCGACGTGACTTTACCGAAAGAACCAAGAATACTTAAGCCATACTTGTTAAAAGCTCTGAAGCTTTAGTGTTTAATAAACTCCGGTGCTGCCAAATGGCTCGACGCGATCGAAGACTTGAGTATATTTGTGTGTGTGCTAGCTGCATCCGCGTGCCCCAAACCACATACGTGTGTGTGTTCAGGCGTGTCTGATAGTTTAAAGTCTCATTTGAATATGTGTCGTGGCACTTGACAAGGTTATCGCCTTCCATTCCTTCAATGGGCAACGGTAACACAAATCTAACGAACACGGAGAGATAATGTCGCAAGGAAGGTTGCTTATGAGAGTGAATGTAGCAACAACAGATTGCGGCAATGATGATGATCAGTTAATAGAGCAAGGTCTCACTCGGTCTTATGACAAGTCCTGCACTACTTTTGACGTTTATGCCATCTCATTTTTAATAAAAAAAAATATTTTGCTTTCATTTGAAATGAAACTTTTGACTACCCGGAGCAAAAAACCCACCACTCACGAGGGAGTAAACACCCCGGAAAATTCTTCACAGGTGTACGAACGAGACCGCTTCCCCTGCGCGCTCACCTGGTGCCAGCGAGGAGCCCTGCACGGTGTCATTGTTGGCCAGGCCGCGTGTGCCCAGAGACGCAACGCAGATCCACACGATGGCCACTACTCTCAGCCAGGAGTTCATCTTCAGCTCCCCCCCCCAAAGTGCGGTTCAACTTTTAAGGCGCTGCTGCTGCTTGCTACCTGATTGCCGAGTGAGTGCGCGCGCGCAGCTGCGAATGAATGTGGTGCTGTTTAAAAAAAACAACCTAAAGTTAACTTTGTAACGAAGTGCTTCGCGAAATAATAAAACCACGCACGTATGAATAAAAGCAAACGATAAATATCTGCAAACTTATACAGCTGTGGATTTTAGCCCGTGACTTTGTGTTTGTTTTATCCTAACAAAATTCAAGTTTGTCTTGCTTCCACCGTCAGCTGTTAGCGCCACCGGTCTATTGAAGTCTGGGAGCTCTGTGGTTACTTTAAGTAGCGCCTCCCTGGGGAGTGTTTGCGTGTGGTGTGATAAATTAGCATAATTTATAGCACACACACACCCCTGAAAGCGAAGCGCTCATTGGACCCGGCGTGCATGACCGCCAGTAACCCCCAGCGGCTGTCAAGGTGGAAACTGAGAACCACGTGCTTTCAGGATTGTCTTACCAAAGATTTTCACCTTTCCATTGACCCACACGTCCGTGCGTTTGCGAGTGTGTTTAGCGCGTGTGTACACACGTGTGTGTATATATAGACGGACACTGCATCAAGGAAACTATTTTATTAATTCAATCGTGATGATCACAGGCAATGACGTTCTGTTCACAGCGAAACTGGCAAGCGTTCTGACCTCTGGACGAACTCTTAGTAGTGATCGCCGGTTGTGGACTAGGGCTGAACGATGAATTGATTTCAAATCGAAATCGCAATTTGAAACAATACGATTAGCAAATCTCAAAGGCTGCGATTTTTTGCAATTTTAAAAGTCCTATTCCTTTCTTATTGGAATTGTTTTATTTTTCATTATTATAACTTTATTTATTTAACTTAACAATTGTTCTATGTTTGATTGTTCTATTTCAATGAAAACATTTTAATACATTTCGATTTAAAGCAATGTGTTGTGGCCGAAACGTCGTGAGAATTTTATTGTCTTATTTTATTTTATTATTTTATTCTCATTCTACGTGACTTTACCGAAAGAACCAAAGAGGATTTTAATACATGTTGGAAGCAATTCATATATTTTTTAAAGTTCTCATCCTTACATTAGAATATATAGATCAGTTCATATTTTGATGGTATCACGTGGTAACGCTCCATCACGTGTTTTAAATCTATTACACAGTGAATATTGAACTGAAGCTTGCCTTTAAAAAATTGAATCTTAAATCAAATCGCAATCGCAATGTCAGAAAAATCGCAATTAAATATTTTTATCCCCAAAATCGTTCAGCCCTATTGTGGACGCCACGTGGTGAGATGGGATCTCTTTGTGTACTCGCCTTGCCAATGGCTCTGCTCACCGCTGAGTGATGGCCAAGGCTGGCTTGCAATAGCTCCGTGCGGCGGGATTGCGGGGAGCATGTTTACTACAACATTGAGCTCTGATATGAACTTGGCGAATAGGTTTTTGCAGCCAATACTATATAGATCGTAATGGTGCTAGAGCATCACAGCCCCGCACGGCATCGCTCTTTGCTCCAGCGGTGGATTTTGCTCAATAAAAAATGCATTCAGTTTCCTTTGTTGGGCTCAAACGAAATATCCATGAATTGCTTTAAGAGGCCGTCCATAAATGACGTCACGCACCTGGGGGGGGGGGGTCAGACATTTGTGACGATGTGTGACGACGGGGGGGGGGGGGGGCGGTGAGAAATGTGACGTCACATCAAAATGCGCAACTGTAAAGAAATATAGACAACACGTTCTACTTAATTAAATAGACTTTTTAATAAATGTTTTCTCCTACAACATCAGAGTGCAGCGCCACATTAAATACGCACTACAATGGCAATCGTTTAAAGCGATTTGAAGCATGTTTTATTTTTAATATGAAAATCTGGTTTTGGGGGGGGGGGGCAGAGCTTTGTGACGTCATATTTGAGGGAGGGGGGTCTGTCTATTTGTCACGCCGTGTGACGAAGGGGGGGGGGGGGGTCAAAAATCGTCCAAAATCGCGTGACGTCATTTATGGACGGCCCCTAACCATAGCTTTTAACATGCAGGCACAGAGCGCGCGGTTGGCTATTTACGGCGCTAAAGAAGTTCAACATACGTACATATGTGTGTTTGTTCGGGTGTACCTATAAACGCACTGCGTGTGGACTCAACTCCATCAACCTAATAGCAGCGATGCTCACGTCGTTGATATCCCGTTGTCAGAGTCACACCATGGGTTACGAGCCAGCAGCATTGGCAGCAAAGCCACTGAACTTCTCACTGGCATTGATGGGCAATGTCAGTGGGGAGCCGGGAGGCGCCACGTGATCTCGAGGAATGTAATTGCCCTGCAAAAGTGGAGAGGTTTTTTTTTTGTGGCTACATTTGCACAAATTGAAAACTTCAAGGAGACCTCCCCGGGTTCTGTTTGCATCCGCATGACCATGCAGAACTGGACCGGACTGGATAACGAAACCCGTAACTTTGTCGGGGCGAACGTAACGTGACCAGCCAGTGAACGAAGCGCGTGATGGTGATGATGGTGCTCCCCAACTCCCCCCGCGCTCCCCACGATGACAACACCACGCACCCCCCGTCACCACAAAGCACCCAGAGACAAAGATACCCCCCGTGTAGCCTGAACAGACTGGTGAAGCAAGCGCTGTTAGCGAGCAGCACCTATTAAGACCGCGGAAAGCACCACCAAGCCCCCCACACACACACTATTCTCCAACTGTTTAGCATATTACACACACATCGCCAGCCCAACGCACAACGTACAAAGACCCCCATACAGTCCCAACAGATTGTTGGGGCAAGTGCTGCAAGCGAACACTTATGGTGAAGGCCGCCACGTCACAAGGTGTTGGTGGGTGGCCAATACCACGTCCAGCCGCTTTGTCTACCCAATGTTGGCGTTTACGCACCGTACCAGGTGCTCATTTAAGGCTGAGTCGACACGGGGGAGGCCCAGAACCGGTTCAGATGATCGTCATTGTTATTGGTCGTGAGCGGGAATCTAACTCGGGCCGCCGGATTCGCAGCACAGCGCGCTAACCACGACGCTACCGCTCCCCACAAAGACATCCACACACAACCCTCACCGCCACGCGCACCTCCGATTTCCATCACCCCCACACACTCTCACCCTCCTCCACCATTTCCACAGACCCGCCACCCCCACCAGCCACACACACACATCCCTTGTGTGGTCTGTGAAGCATGTTGGGGCCAGCGCGCTGTTGCCAGGCGCCTCTTATGGCCGTAAAGGAGCACGCGTGAAAGGCGGTGGTTAATGTTTACACGCTGCGCCAGGTACACGCTTAAGGCCGAATCGACATTGGCTGTAACTTGGGGTCGATTTCGAGATTTTGCTCGACACTGTTGCGGAGTCCAGCTGGCCGAGATCCCAGCGCAGTGCGCCAACCACTGCGCCACCGTTCCCTGGAAGTCAGAACGTCGCGTGACCGCCACGTGGCCCCAACACCACGTGGCGCACACCTCCATACACACCGTGACAACAATCGTCAGTCAAAAACACCTTGGGGCAGACTGTGAGGGCACGTGCTGTTAGCGAGCACGTATGACTTTGAGGGGGGTGGGTGACCAACACCACGCTCGAGCGCCTTTGTCTCCCCAATTCTAATGCCTATACACACCGCACCAGGTACTCATTTAGGGCAGAGTCAACCTCGTGGAAGCCCAGAACTAGTTCAGATATTTGTCACGAACTTGGTGTGGAGCGGGAATCGAACTTGGGTCACCGGGTTTGTAGCGTAGCGCACTTAGGGGCCGTCCATAAATGACGTCACGCACCTGGGGGGGGGGGGTGTCAGACAGTTGTGACGATGTGTGACGAGGGGGGGGGGTGAGAAATGTGACGTCACATCAAAATGCGCAACTTTAAATAAATATAGAATTGTTATAACAACACTAATTGTTAAAACAACACTCCTACAACATCAGAGTGCAGCGCCACATTAAATACGCACTACAATGACAATAGTTTAAAGCGATTTGAAGCATGTTTTATTTTCAAAATGGAAATATGTGTTTTTTTGGGGGGGGGGGGCAGAGCTTTGTGACGTCATATTTGAGGGGGGATCTGACTTCTTGTAACGCCGTGTAACGAGATGCACCAGCTGCACCCCCTATTGTGCCAACTTGCTGCATTTTAGCTGCCCGGCTCTCCGTTGTTGTGAGCGTCCCTTCTCTGTCCTTCGTTGTTGCTGGAGGGCGACTGCCTACAACTTCCCAGGAGCGTCCTTCACGAGCCTCCTCCATAGAGGCCGATCTGGACACCGCTGGTACCAGTCATCGGCAAGTCCACTCATCTCCACATCCTCCCGCACCGCATCAGTCCATCTCGTGCCATGCCCGTTTAGACCCGTCTATGCGGCCAAACAGAAGCTGTTTGGGCATGCGGTGGCTGGGCATGCAGGCTACATGACCCAGCCAGCGCAGCCTTGCCTGCCGGAGGAGCTCACTGATAGGAATGTGTCCATATATTTCAAAGATTTGTGAGCTTCTCACACAATCCAGCCTGGTTAAACCCAGAATGGATCGTAGGCAGGCCAGCCTGAATGTTTATAACCGGCGCAAATGTTCAATTAGAGGGGTCCACGTTTCACAAGCGTAGAGACGGGAGAAGGCCACAGTCACGCACACACACACATACTCACTCCAAGACCCACAAACACCTCTAGCCACACATTGCATAACCCTCAGACCCACACACACACCCCCACCCACCGACCCCTATTCACAGAAACCATTCTGAACGGGCAGCAGCCTGTGAATGGGGTCGCTGGGAGCCAAGCGACAACAAAAATCAAAAGGGCCGTCACCATCACGGGATCGTGACCTCTTCAAGCTCACTGGTCATGGGATTTGAAGGCGTGGGGGTTACGACATTAAATGTCAACTCCACCACAATCGCTGTTAGCGAGCACCTATGAAGGCCAGCACGCCACACTCTTCCCAGTGATGATGTTTACACGCTACACCAAGTACTCATTTGAGGCTGAGTCAACCTAGGGGAGGCGCAAGATCGGTTCAGATAACCGTCGAAATCGGGTCACCAGGTTTGTAGCACAGCGTGCTAACCGCTACACGACCGCTTCCCACATTAACCCCAAAAGCATAATTATAACCAACATCAATTCTACCACTGCGGCACAATGGAGAGTTAAACACTCTCCAGCAGTGTACGACTGTGGTCATCCAGAACAGACCGTACAACGTATAACGACGCAATGCCCGATCCACGTCACAGCGATACACACCGCTTGCTCCTGACGCTGTTATCTGGCTTGACCACCTGAACGTAGAATTGTGGTTGTTGCTCTGCGTCTAGGTCAGCCA